GTGTGTGTGTGTGTGTGTGTGTGTGTGTGTGTGTGTGTGTGTGTGTGTGTGTGTGCTTGCTAAGACTGCTTTTGGCTAACACACTGACCAGGAATTCATCTGCAGGACAGGCCTCCCAGGAGCTGGGAGATTGCTAGTATCAAACTGCAAACCGCTGAGGCTAGCCAGTGTTGAGCCACGTGCTACCTTCCCCTAATTGAATATTGAATCTTTGCTATTTTGTTAGCATGAAGGCATTCCTGGCGTTATCAAAGGTGCTTCTGGGTTTACAGGAAAAACACACCATGATTGGTGTCTCCTCGGAGTGTGAGGAGGGACGCTGACTCCTGTCACTAGCAGTGACAAGTCTAACCCTGGACTGCCCTGCCCCTCTGGGTGATGGTGGCCAGCTTTTGTCCCAGGGCTTGGCTAGACCTTCTGTAAGTCAAAGGCCACAGAGCTCCTGCCTGTCACCGACAGTTGAGGCTCAGTGGTTCTAAAGGGTGAATTGAGGAGAGAGCTCAAATCTCTCCTGTGCAGGTGTGTGCCTGCTCTTCCAGAATGGAGGGAACAGTCGCTGCCAGAGGGGGAAGGACATAGCAGCATCCCAGCAACACTGACAGTCTAGAATGGGGGCCTTTTGAGATAGGCTGCTGGCCGGGAGCCCCTTCCCTTCCTTCTTTTGCTGCAGTAGCTTTCATGTCCATCGACAGCCCCCTTTTCCCACTGTCAGCCCATGGGCTCCTGTGGGCATGACAATGAAAGTCAGCACTGTCAGCCAGACCAAAAGCCACACTGCAGCAAATAGTGAGAAAGTCGGTCTCCGTCTCTCTGTCTCTGTTTGTGTCTCTGTGTTTCTCTCTCTGTCTCTCTGTCTCGTTTGCTCTCTCTTTCTCCCTCCCACCCTTCTCCCATCGTCCCTTCTAAAGCATGGTAAGGATTCGCCGTCACCTCAAGGTTGCCTGCTCATAGCTAAAGCCTTGACGGAGGCAAGATCAGACCAAGGCACATGGATTCCAGATCATGTCGAGCACCCGGTCCAGAAGGACTTGAAGTCCCTGCAGCTCCCAATCATAGAAATTAATCTTTTGTAATAATAATAAAAAGAAATTAAGCTTTCTGTGCCCAGAAGCCAATTTGAGTTTGTCTTCCTGCATACACATTTCATTACCTGAAGAGTTACACACTGGTCAGGAAGAACAGCCCAGATTCCCAGATACAGCCCAAGTTATGGAAGGGAGACACTAAGGAAGGAAACCAGCTAGAGGTGCCAAGCCCATTGCTGCTTTTCCCAGGCAGGATGTTATCATTGCTCTGGTCCTATACTAGACCCATAACACAAGCTTGGACACTAGAGGCTAACAATCTAGCCGGCTGTCTTAGTTTCCAGGGCCTGCCTCTCCAAACGGTGCAATTTCTCCTCCTTCTCCTCCTCCTCCCCCTCCTTTTTCTTGTTTTTGTTTTTTTGAGGCAGAGTTTCTCTGTGTAGTCCTGCCAGTCCTGGAAGTGCCTCTTCAGACCAGGCTAGCCTTGGACTCAGAGATCCTCCTTTCTGCCTCTGCTTTGCAAGTGCCATGGCCACCCCGCTAAAGGATGTGTTCCTAAGGGTTGCTTCCACACAATCAGGTTGCTTCGGCCCCACGGCCCCAGCTTCACAGCAGAGCTTCATGAGAGCACAGCGGCTCTAGCTGGGGGAGACAGCGTAACTGATTCAAGCATGCTCATATTATCTAATGTAGCCCAATCAGAATCCTGCCCAGGACTTGTCCAGCTGCAGAGGAGAGTCATCCCATGCTGGCTGATGTGTTGCAAGAATGAACATCTGGTGTTGACGGGGTAAACATGGTGTGAGGGATGGAGCTGACCCTGCAGGCCAAGCAGAGGGGACATGAGACTGCAGCTGTTCTGGCGCCTTTACCAGCTCCACCTGCCCTTCGAGTTTGTGAGCCATGAAGTGGCTCTGCCCCCTCCTCCTAGGGAAGTTAGGTGCAAGTGGCTTGATGCCACCCTCAACCAGCAACCCTGAAGAATGCAACCCTTTATAAGCCAGAAGGAGAACAAGTGTTCTAAGGCCCAGAGCCCCTTGCCACCTAAGAAAAAGGCTCTAATGTTGGGGCACAGAAAACAAAAAAATAAGAACTGGGCCGGGGCTCCAATGTTGACTCACTAGCCTTGTGACTTTGGACAAGCGTCAGCCGCACTGAGCCTCAGGATCCTCATCTATAAAGGGATAATCGGATTTTCTCTGAAGGGTTGCTGTGGGGCTGAAATGAAGTCTGACCACGACTCTTCTTTGTAAGCTGTAGCAGTTATTAGGCCTTTTTTCCCCTTGCACCACTATGAATCGTAACGAAACTATCCGATATGCAAGATATCTGATATGCGACCCTGTGAAAGGGTTGTTCAGCCCCCAAAGAGGTGGAGACCCACAGGTTGAGAACCACACTAGACTATCTGGCATTGACTGGGACAAATTGGTTTCTAAAAGCCCTGAATCTCTTCAAAGGCCACCTTTGGGCCCTGAGGGGTAAGAAACCCTGGGTCTTTCTGGGGAGGCTGGAGAGAGGAGAGTCTTCGTGCCTGATATAGGGTTGCATGCCTGTTATCCCAGCACTTCATGGGTAGCAGAAGCTCATCCTCAGCTCTGTGATGAGGTCAAGGCCCGCCTGGGCTACATGAGACCCCATCCCAGCACTCAGGAGGCAGATGCCTACAGAGAGAGTTACAGGACAGCGAGAGCTACACAGAGAAACCCCGTCTCAAGACAAAAACAAAACCAATTTTTAAAAATGTAGTTCAGTCCTTGTATGAGACCACAGGGAGAGGTCTCCAGAGCCACACAGTCAGTAGAAGATGTTACCCTGGCCAGAGAGGCTGTATCCGTTGGCTCACTGAGCACAACCTCCCCAGCAGGCACAGAGGGACTTCCCAGGACCACTCCAGAACCATCACTCATTTACTTATTCAGCAAACAGCAGAGTCCCTGGCCATGGCTTTGTGGGGCTTAAGGCTGCGTGGAGGATACAAAACCCCAGCCTTCACTTGAGTAGAGCCACCGCGCTCTGTTAAAAGCTGAGAAGCTCTCGGGGCTTCAAGAAAGATGTTCACATCTTTGCCCTGGAACTTTGGGTGCCCGATACTTGCTTAGGCAGATCTGGAGAGAGCAGTCCCCACACGCTAGGGGAAAGTATTCAGGTGAGCTTGTAGCATAGCCAAGGCTGCCCTTCTTGACACTTTTATGCATAATGAAACTTGAAGGGCAAATCTGCCAAACCTGCCCCGGGCCAGGCACATGGGACACCCCCACCCCCCCACCCCCGCTCCTTGCTGCACTGTCATCATTCAAACTCTTCGGACAGGCTGGATTTTCCTCAAAGAGTCGCTGGCACAGCAGACACTGAGCTCCAAGGAAAACTGGTAAGAGTCAGGGTTCGTGCCCAGAAGAACAGTCTAAACTTCATTTGGCTCTGTGTGAGCCCGAGTCTACAGTTGAAGCTGGAAGTCCCCCGGGTCCAACATCCCCAGCAGAGTAGAAAGGCTCTGGGAGCACTGACCAGAATAAGAATTAAAGGCAGAAGCTTCAGACCCTACCAACATCGCCTGTGCAGCCCCTCCAAGGGTTTAGTGGTCTAGACAGGCAACAGAGATTCATCTCCTTGTTCCTCTGGCATCAGAGGCAGACAACTGGGCTCAGGCTGTCACTCTTTCTGCCTGGCTTTTGGAAATGAGCTTCAGCGTCTCTGGACAGTTAGGCTATAAAGCAGGCTATACTAAAGTGGGGGGGGGGCGCTTTACTAGAGTCCTCACTCATTTCAGAGGCTTGACCAGGTTACCAGAGGGAGAAGGAGTATAGTCATAGCTCCATCCGGAACAGCAAGGGGGGACCACATCAGCAATGTTCCCAGCATGAGCTGCTCTGTTTTCAACCAAGGCTGGGCTCTATATGGGACAATGGAGTCTTTAAAATAGAAGAGTGACTTTAACCTTAACTTTTGCTATACTGTTTTGCATGGCTGTGGATGCACAATAAATCGTTGAAAGAGCAGGAGAGAGGGAGAAGAGAAGGAGGAAAGAGAGAGGGAGCCGTAGCCTGTGGCTGAAGAAGAATCTGTGGAAGAGGCTGGCTGTGAGGGGTGGTGCAGGAGGGGCCTGAGAGGAGACTGCATTTCTAGATCCAGTGTCCCTGCAGCAAGTCAGAAGCTAAGGCCTCATCAGGGGTTGTCTCTCAGCCCCCACCCCAACACTTCCCGCCCTCAGCCTAAGCAGTTGTATCATGTGGTGATTCACGTTTAAGGAAAATAGTGCAGAGATAGCAAAGTTCCCCAAATTTTACAAAATGTTAGCACATCACCTGATAGACAAGTACCTGCTCTTTCCCTGCCCTGAGCTTTGACTTCATTAGCATCCTAGGGACCAGCCTGCACCCACAGAAGCCCTCATCAGCGGAGCTCACATCCTCTCAGCTCAGCTGGTTCCCACAGCTGGACCTGAGCAGCAGCTGCCAACCCCTGCTGGAGCAAGAGTCAACTGACCTGAAAGGCAAAGACGTCCTTGACCAGAGCCTCCCCAAAGACAAAGCTGGAGCCGGCCTCGGTGTAGCTCAGGAAGACCTGGAGGGAACACAAACACAGGGACAGGGGCTAGGAAGGGAGGACGGGGAAGCATGGCCAGAAACCCAGGCTGGAGTGAGCAGGAGCCTGGGCCCAGCACTGGTGGAAGAATGGCAAGGCCCAGGCCCTCCTGCCTCAAGATGTACCAGCTAGGAGTAGCAGCTCATGCCTGTGATCTCAGTTGGGAAACTGAGGCAGGAGGATTGCCAGGTGCTCAAGGCCAGCCTGGGCTACACAATGGGACTGTCTCAAAAAGTAAAACAAATACGTAACAAGGCCTGGAATTTAAGGGGACTGCTCAGGTGGTACAGTGTTTGACTCATAAGAACAGGACCCAGGGGTTTTCAACCCCAGAGTCTAGAGCTTTAAAAAAGGAGTGGAGGCAGGTGCTGAAAACCTCAGTGCTGGGGGAGTGGACACAGGTAGACCCCTCAAGGTCTCTGGCCTGCTCTCCTACTTGGCAAGCTCCAGGCCAGTGAGAGACCCGGCCTCAAAAAGAGAGTGGACAAGGCCCGAGGAACAACACCCATGATTGTCTTGTGACCTTTACAGACATGTACACATGAAGACGTGCATGCACACATATGCACACCAATTAAGCCAGAATTTGTAAATGGACCAACTCAGAACAGTAAAAACCAGAGGATAGAAACTGGGCATGATGGTACTTTGGATCCCAGCACTTGGGAGGCAGAGGCAGACGGATCCTTGTGTATGTGAAGTCAGCCTGTTCTAGACAGTGAGATCCAGACCAGTAAGGGATACATAATGAGACCCTGACTATTAAAAAAAAAAAAATCGCTGAAAAAAAAAAAAAAAACAAAAACAACCAAACAAAAACCAAGTATGCCTTCAATAAACATTATTTCTAAATCCAAATGCCAAGTGGATAATTTTCAAAAGATTTTGTTGTTAGAAATTTTAACTCATTTATATCCTAAGCCACTGAAAACCACTGCAGGTCATGTGGCCTGGCACCCACACGCCCTAAGAATATCACCACCTATCCAGGCCAGACCCATATGGGGCCCAGTCTTCCTGGTTGCAAACCATCTCTGGTACCTCCACACCTACCTTCCCTGAATCAAGTGGCCTCTCCCAACTCCCCAGGAGCAGGGCCCGACATACGCACCTGGATCTGATCACCTAGCCACCGGAATGCAACAAATCCTGGTTCTGTTCTGATGACAAAGAGTCCAAGCACAAACTGCAGCCCAAGGCCCCAGGACACAGCCCGCCATGACACCTGCCAGCCAACGAAAAAATCTTAGTGAGCTTGGCTTGGAGGAATCCACAGGTCCCTGATGGGGTACAGGGTGGAGGAGAGGGGTGCAGGGAGGACACCATGAGCTCTGTCCTGCCTGTAGCTGCCTGGGTCCCGCCTAGCCCTGGGTCTGCTGCCAACAGCCACACGGGATTTAGACGAGGTCAGGCTCTCGGCAGCAGTGAGGTAGGGACAGATAGTACCGTATTCTATGGGCTGATGTGAGGCTTGCCTGGGCTGGAACTGGGCGTGGCATTCGGTTCTCAGACCACGCCTTAGGATGTGGACATGAACCTGCCCAAGCCCAGCTCCTCTCCAACTCAGTGTATGATTTCTGCCTGCCTGATCCCTCCCTGTCTGTCCTCTTTGCACTCTCAGCACCCAGACCTCAGGTCTCTTGATGGCCCGTGAGATAGGACAGCCCAGGCCCTAAGGCTGCTTTTCCCACTCAGCACAGGAAGACTTCTTGACATTTCCCTAGCAGGAGGGCATCAGACACTGGTGCAGCCATGCTCTGAAGCACACAGGGATCCTGATTCTGGGGCATGGTTGCTCTATGGTTGCCACGGAGACAATGAGAGAAGAGCCTATGCAGAGCAGGGACTTCCCTCCTGGGCCAGCCTCATGCCAGAGTTTCTAACTCAGAGTCAAGCCCAAGAGTTAGCACTTCTTTTTTATTATTATTATTATTATTTAATATTTTTATTTATTTAACTTTACTTTATGTGCATTAGTGTGAGAGTGTCAGATCCCTTGGAATAGGCATTACAGACAGTTGTGAGCTGCCATGTGGGTGCTGGGAATTGAACCCTGGTCCTTTGGAAGAACAGACAGTGCTCTTAACCACTGAGCCATCTCTCCAGCCCGAGTTAGCACTTCTGATGCATTCCAAGGAGATGCTGCAGCCCCTGGTCGTGGAAGCTGACCTCAAAAAGCAGTATTTTAAGCTAATTATTTCAGGGTAGACTTGGATTCTCTCACAGAACAGGAAGTTCAGCTTCCCTATTTTCTGGGGTACAGTGGTTCCTGAGCCCACAGAGCTGAGGGACACATCGACAAGGAAATAAATATCCCCAGCGGCCTGTGAGTTTAGAAAGACGTCAGCTGTCCTACCCAGAAAACCCCCTGCCCCTTGGGGAATTTGAGGGCTTCCGCTTAGACAGATAATGTCCTACCCAGCATCACCAGTGTCCCTCAACAGGTGTGTGGGGAACGTAGCCCAGCGCACACTGCTCTTCGCCGGCTGAGCCTCAAGTGTTCTCCCAGCAGGAATATCCATCTCACCCCAGCCCACAGGGAGCATCCATTGGCTTCCAGCCTGGGTGGCCAGCTGAACACTCACAGCACGGTGATGCTTTGAGGCAGCAAAGAGAAGGGCAAGGAACACACAGATCCCTCCAAAGGACACCAGCTGTTCTGGCCGCTGGGAGGTATCCAGAGCTAGCCACAAGATCAGGCCCAGGCCAGCAGCAAGAGCTAGACCTCTAGAGAGAGAGAGAGAGAGAGAGAGAGAGAGAGAGAGAGAAAGCCATAACGTTAGCATCACATGCTCACACACACACCCTTAGTGGTCCAGAGACTGAGATACCCTGTGGGTTACAGGTTCTTTGCTCTGAATGTTGGGAACAAACCCTCTTCCTGGTTCTTGGCAATTCCAGTCCAAATTCCCTCCTATTCTTTTGGGTGGTTCTTTGGCATCGTTTCCTCAGAGGTATTCAGCAATCAGAAGTCAGCTAGACATGCCAGGGAAACCCTAAAGCTCTCTGGAGTTTTCTCTCTGAGCAGCTGCCTCATTTTCAGTTCCATTTGCCATCCCCATAGAAAGACAAATAACAATCCTTGGCTGGACCCAAGCTGTCCTCGCCGTGCTGCTTCTGCAGATGCACAGCGTGCAAGAACTATGGAGCTTGGCTTCCTCCTCCTGGAAGACTGTAAAGGATGCTGGGAGCAGTCTTGGGTGTAAAGGCCTGTGGCCAGAAGTAAGACCACCCTGAGACCCCATAACGATGGTTCTATGGGCAAAATCAGCCTGAGAAAGCCACAAGCATCAACGTACAATTCCAACCCAGGGGAACAGCTCTGTAGACTGAGCCCAGCAAAGCCCCAGGGCTGAGCTGTCCAACCCCAGGGTGCCCAGGAGGCTGTACCTGGACTGAAACATGATTCTGGAGTCTGAAGATTTAAGACACCTTGAGCTGGCAAGGTGACTCAGGGGATAAAAGTGCTTGCCGAACAAGCCGGAAGACCCGAATTCAACCCCCATGGTGGATAGAGAAAACACATTCCCAAAAGTTGTCCTCTGACATTCACGCATGCACGGCCACACCCAGCAACACCTATCATGTACACACACATGCAATACATACACACACACACACACACACATATATAGAAGATACATTTTTTTTAAAAAGTAGGGTCTTACCTTCTTGGACTTCAAACTTGCTCTGGTCCTGTTGTCCCATGTCCCTGACTCTCACCCTTTTGGACTGGTTGTGTTTTGGGAGTGAACACTTGTTTTGATGTACAGGTTGACAGCTAAGAGGAGTTCCCCTTGACCCTCAGATGAGACTTCTGACTCTGAACTCTCGAGTTGATGTTTGACCAAGTGGAGACTCTGGACAGTTGGGTAGTCATGTTGCGGGTGTGAGAAACACGGGGTTGGGGTGGGCCAGGGAGGGATGCTATGGCTTGGGTGTGGTCTTCCCCATTAAAACTCAGGTTGACTTTGTTTTGTTTTGAAACACAGTGTCATGTGGCCCAAGCTGGCTTCAAACTTGCCATCCTCCTGCCTCCGTGTAACAAAGTGCTGGGATTATAGGCGCTCACCACCATGTCTGGCTTTGCATGCTGAAATTTAACTGTCCCTGGGCTGGAAGGAGCAACCTGAAGAGATAATTAGGTCTTGAAGAAATAGGCTAATCTCAGGGGACATGAGTGAGTGCTCACTCTGCAGGTCCGGATTAGTTACTGTGGGTAGCGGGCAGGTAGAGTAAATCAAGGTGGCCTCTCCTGTTTCTTCTCTTTCACAGGCCCTGGCTTTCCCTTCGGCTGCCATGAACTGAAGCATACAGCCAAACAGATGCCAGCACCAAGCTCTTGGACTTTTCAGACTCCAGCACCGAGAGCCAAAGTAAACCTCTATTCTTCATAAATTGCTCTGCCTGTGGCACTCAGTTAGAGCAACAGAGAACAATGGCGGGGGGGTCTGACACTCTTTCCTGCTGGCCTCCCACTTCTCTCTATGGCGTCCCTATGGTTTGCGGTTTCCAGAGCTTTTTGGGTTTTTGAGATTTATTTTTAATTGTGTGTGTGTGTCTATGTATGTGTGTGGTGGGAGTGGGTGCATGCGTGATTGCAGGAGCCTGCTGAGGCCTGAATATTTGCTGGAACTGTAGGGAATTGTAGACCATCCAGTGTGGGTGCCTGGAACTAGATGAGTCCTTTGCAAGAACGGTAGCATTAACTACCAAGCCATTTCTTATCTAGGACTATTAAAATAATGTTTTATTAAAAAATTAATTATTGCTGGTGTGTATCTGTGTGTGTGTGTGTGTACATGCCTGCGGAGACTACAGAAAAACTTTTGGGAGTCAGTTCTTTCCTTTCACCACAGACTCCAGGCATCAAACACCAAACTATTATTCAGGGACCTGGCTAATTATATCAGAATTCCCTAAGGGTTAATTTAAACTTGGCCCAACCTAGACTGTTGAACTGGGCTCCAGGGACGTTCCCATAATCTCTGTAGGTGATCCAGCCCCGGGTGACCTGCTAAGACATCTGGAAAAGTATCTGGTCTTGGTGGCCAGACTCTCTGAATATAGGAAATTCTCACATGTCTGGCTTTAGCCCTCAGTTACCTATTGCAACAATAAAAACAAACAAACAAACAAGCAAAACCCAACCCAACCCAATCCAACCAAAACACTGGTGAAAACAGACCTGGCCGATGCCTTCGAAGCTACCCTAGGCTTGCCTAAGGCTGAGGGCTCACTCACCTTTTCAGCCAGGTACTCAGCCGAGAATGGCCTTGAAACTTGATACACCGCCTCAGTTTGGACCCTAGAAGTCTCTTTAGCAGACCGTAGGCCAGAAAGACAAGAACCACACAGGTGATGACCAGCAGCGCCAGGGCCCTCTGGACGTCCAGGAGGCAGGCGATGATCAAGAAGGCAGTATATGCTGCAGAGGAATCATTGGTGGGCTCAGCGGGGAGAAGGCTGCTTCATAGCCTGCGGCGGCCCAGCCTGCCTTGTCCACCCAGAGCATTAAGGGCAGGCAAGTCACTCAGTCCCTCCCAGCCTCACTGTCCTCGTTGACAAGGAAAACCCTTGTCCCTACTGTGTCAGAGGATTATTAAGGGAATGGGGATGTGGCTCAACGATGGAGGCTTGCCCAGCATTGCCTGAGGCCCTGGCAAAATGTGTGAAAAAGGCCTCTGCACATCATACAGTGATGGCAAAGGCTGAGAGACAGAATGACACAACGGGAACCTACAGAAGACCAGGTTGGATAAGTCTGACTCTATATGACACCAGAGCGTGCCTCCATCCTCTGCTGTTAATAAATGATCTGTGTGTGTGTGTGTGGGGGGTGTGTGCTTATTTATGTGTCTGTGGGTGCACGTTTGTTGTTAGGTTTGGGTTAGGCCATGCTCACCTACAGCAGCCTCTCCCTCCGCCCTCACAGCTGCTGTGAGAGAAATGGCAGGCACCCTACTATGTCTGTGGGTCTGCAACTCTCTTTCTAAGAGTTCAGCAAGCTCAGGTTACACGACTCTGGGAACTTGATAACCGCCCCCTGCAGTGACCCCACCCTGGCAGAGAGGAGGATAGCTTTCTGCTTCCCCTGCTGCCCAGGCAACCTGACTACAAGTACATTTCATCGACTACTCATTAACTACATGGCATGTGACTGTCCTCCTGTCTCTGAGACCTCTAAGGGGAACCCTGTTCTGCCTCCTGGGCAGGGACTCAGATCGTCTCTGACATGCTGCCTGCCCACGGTGTTAAGAACTCTCCTGTAACAGGGCCCCTAGACTTAGCACAACTGACTCCATGATGGAAATGCCATCGAGGCTGTAAAACTCAGCATGTAGACAGCACCATAAGCCAAAATGAAAGCAAAACTGAATCCATCAAAGTCCATGGTTCCGGGAAAGTTTCTAAATGCACTAACCTTGCTTTTTAGCTTCTGTAGTTCCGCTTCTGGCTAACTGTTCCTGTTAACTGAAATATGTCAGTCTAGGACATGGGTTTTGTGCTTAAACGCTCACCATGAGAGAGGTTTGGTGTTACACTGGCATCCCAAAACACCCAGTGTAGTTGCTGGCTGGCTAGTTAAAACTTTCTATTGGCTCAAACCCATGTCCAAGCAGTTTTCTGTGGTGGACTGCCTCACAGCACTAATACATCTCCTGCCCAAAAGGACAATCAGATTCACGATGGAGTTCTTAGACAGGTGTTGAAACCTGTTCTTGTGTGTCCATGCCCTTTACGGATGGAGCCATCTCCCAGCCTCACCGATGACAGTTTTCTTCCTAGAGTTCTGTCTTCCTTGGCCTGGCTCTCCTATGAGCCACTGAGCCAGTCTGAGCTTTTCCCTCACAAAAGGAACATGGCGGCAGCAGAGATGGAATGCCTCTCCCTCGCTTTTGAGTTTCAAAATCCTTGAAGAGTGATGGAAAATGTGTGGCGAAGCAGTTCACAGAAATATGAGTTTCACCTCACCTGCCTTCTGCTATCCCATTACTTAGAACAGGACACAGCAAGGGTCCTGGGGCCAGGGGAAGACTGAACCTCACAAACTGGCCTAAGCCCAGGGTGTTTGTGGCATGGCCAGCTGAGGAATGCCAGGCCTTGCTTCCTGAGAGGAGTCCCAAGGGGCCACAGGCCTTCAGAGAGGAATGTTGTATGTGGCCTGTAGGTAGGAAGAATTTATGAGCACTGTATGTCCGCGGCAGGCACAGAAGCTCCGGAAGAGACACCCCACAGTGGCTCAGAAAGGGGGGAGGCAGGAGCTCAGGGCAGGTGCACAGCGGAGAAGAGGGACCCCAGAGTCATCTGCCCTGCAGAAGTCAACAGGTCAGTAGACACTGAGGAACTGGCAATAGTTAAAGCCTGCTGGAGAAAGGGTTCTGAAGGAGTGGGCCAGAGTCAATCTCCTGTCACTCAAGGGACGACAAACCGAAAGTTAGCCACATGGCAGAAATAAAGCTCCCTTTCTCTTGCCAGGCGGCTCTTACAGATCGGGGCTCTCTTTACCCCTTCTAGCTGTAAGGCCTCCATCCCTTCATCCCTTCTTCCCTCCCTCTCTCCATTCCTCCCTTCCCCCTAGAGCCAAGACAGCCTTGAATTATAACCCTAAAACCAACCAAACAACAGCAACAAAGCCAGGATCTTATACTGTGGGAACAAAACATTCACTGTGTAGCCAACGACAACCAACCCTGAACTCTGATCTAGCTGCCTCCGTCTCCCAAGTTCGGGAGTGCAGGACGTGCCTCCGTCCCCAGTCTTGTGTAGCCCTGGGCTTGAACCTGGGGCCCCTGTGCACGTTAGGTGAGAGCCCCACCAGCTGAGATGCAAGCCCAGCCCACTCTGAAAGACAGCTGTAACCTCACAGGGCCAGCATGCAGATGCTACTGCACAGGAGTGGAGGATGAAGGACAACTGCTAGGAACCCGTTCTCTCCTTCCACACCTGCCTGAGTGTTGGGAGTAGAGCGTAGGTGCTCAGGTTTGCGTGACAAGCGCTTTTAGCCACTGAGCCAGCATCTCCCTGACCAAGCTGTTTTTGGAGACAAGAGCTAATGTAACCCAGGCTGGCCTCCAGGTCACTATACGGATGAGGCTACCCTCAGCCTAAGACCTCCTCCATCCTGCACACACGGTCACAGTTCAGCAGGCACTGATGGCTCCCTGGATCCCCATATCGGCTCAGTCTGTCTTTGGCTTCCTTCTCTCTCACATTGAGGCCTCAGTGTCTTCTATGTCTCTCCTGAAGCCATTTTTGGTTTAATAGTGTGATGTCAACCTGGACGCTTCTCAGTTTAAATCCTTCCATGCACATCTCTGGACCTTAGAGTCAAACCCAAGTTCCCGAATATATCAACTACCTTCCCTTCAGAGCCCTCCAGCCCCAGGAGACTCAGCCTGGGCACTCTTCAGCAACTTTACCCTCCAGCCACACTAGACTATCAAAGCCCACACCCTGCCTGTTTTCACCTTTGCCCCTTGACCTTTGTGCTTTGAGGGGTGTGGTATGGGAGGGTCTCAGCCCTCATTGCCCTCCCCCCAACTTAGCTCTCCTGAGACCATGAACCCTGAAGGTTACCATCCTCCCTCGTGACGTGTAGCTTTGCATGAGCATATTCCTGTGCTCCTGAAGAAGGGCTTGGGAATGGGGTCTGGTTGGGCTTGATGGAGCCCTGAGCCGCTATTTTGAGCTGGCCACGTTGGTGCTCAACAAACTTCACTGGTTGGCTGGGTGAACGAGCCCACTCTGTGACATGGAGGCCATGAGGGCAGTGACGTCTCCTGAACGGGGCAGGGTGGGGTCTGCTTACCGGCACAGAGCAGACCTATGCAGATCCATCCAAACAGCTGCCTGTGCTCCCTGACGAAGCTTCTCGTTCGCACAGTCAGCTGCAGGCTCCTGAGGAGAGGGCCATCAGGGTTCACAAGTATCCGCCTCAACTCTCACCCCAGTGGGGAGCCCCACAGCCTGCAGGTGGAAACTACTCAAGCATGTTTCCAGTGCGGTAATGGGATGAACCAGGGCAGGCCTTGCTACCTTACCGGGCTGAAAAGCAACCGTGGTACAAAGACACAAGCCACGGTTCCACACCTGTCGAGGACGGAGGCCACTCTGCAGGGCCACCCCTGCTCTTGGCTGAGGGAGGGAACTAACCCATAGGTAGAGGCTTTAGGGACATTCAGAAAGGCACAGCTATGGCTATCCAACCTCCTTTCTGCTTCCACCTGCCCACTGAGGAGGGTGGAGAGGTTCTCAACTCTGTATTGGCTCTCCTGGGACAGAGAGACATTTATTGTCTGCGTCTTCAGTGCCTGCTCAAGAGAAAGGCCATGTAAAAGTATGCAGCTGGCCACCTCTCCTGCCGCAGGGGCCCAGAATGGACACTAGTCCTCAGGTCAATTGGTCACTTGTGTGTCCCTGGTGGAAGGGCTGCTGCCCAGATCTCCTGATGCTTACTTGTTGCTCATGAAATCCAACCTCTGCTACGGTTGCAAGGGCTCCCTTCCCAAGGAAAGGGAGAGACATCTTCTCCACCCCCCCCCAAAGGAGCCAGAGATGTGCCCCCCCTCCAGAGCCACACTCTGTCCTTGGAGTGTTTGGCCAGCCAGAGCCTCCCAGGCTCATACCAGACCTTGTGGGCGTATTCCTTTGCCTCTTTGGAAAGTGGAAAGTCTGGCCCAGTCCAGGAGTGTTACGAACTGAGGCCTGGAGTCCCCAAAGTGGCTCAGCAACTGAATGGGGCAGTAGGCGGACGAGGGAGGCTGCAGGGCGGCCTGGCCGGTTCGAGGCCTGAGAAGGTCTGTACCCACATCGGGTTTTCCATTGAGATTACATCCTGGCTGCTTACAAGCTTACAAGATGGGCACCTGGGCTGGTTTGCCCCTGGGGCCTGCAAAGCTCACTTGCCCCTCTTCCTCCCTTAGACAGAATTCCATCCTCTTGCCCTGGTGACCTGGGACCCTCACAAAGATCACCTACCTTCCGGAGAAGGACTTCCATTCTGCCTTGTTCCAACTGCCTCCACCCTCCGGCAGGCCTGAGTTACTGTGTGAGAGCCGGCCTTCCTCCTAAAGCCGATAGGAAACAGTCAGGACCGGCCTTCCCACCAAGAGACAGCTGTGGCTGAAGGGCACTGAAACAAGACAGGCCCTGGCGGCTCTGTTCACACACGGGTGCCTCTCGAGTGGACTGACGTAGACTGGACTACTGCCTGGGAAATAGGGGGTACTCAACTATATTCTGCAGCGCATGCATTGAGCATCTACTATGTGCAGGCACATCCTGCCCTCAGAATTTCACTGTGGCTTCCTGGAGACCAGGAGGAAACCCCTGAAGAAGGTCCCAGGCAGGCCCACCTCACTGCATGACTCCAGGGTGCCCCTTTCGTCACTGTCCATGTAGTTATTTGGGGGAGTCGGGGGAGGCACTTCATCAAGGAGAGGGAGCCTTGTAGGGAAGGGAGCGAGGACAAAGGGTATATCATGTTAGGCTTCACAGTTGGAGCCGTGGTCCTTAGCTTGGCCTTTGGGGAACCAAGACAAGATTGTAAGTCCTTTGAGAGCCAAGTCTTCCTCAGACAACCTGTCCCATCATTTGCTTCTCTTCCCTCCTGGCACCTTTGCTGAGCACACAGGGGGTGCTCAGGTCATGTTTAAGGGGTGAAACAAAGGAGGCTACTCTGTGGTGAGGAGGCACTACGAAAGCAGAGGTGAGGAGAGGACAGAGGAAAGGACGCAGACAGACCCAGGAACCTCCTATCCATCAGCTGCGGACAAGCCAGGAGGTGTTATGGAGGAAGGCAACAGACCATGCTTTCCAGGAACTCCGCCCCCAGGTTCTCCAGGCCGTGGGCCACAGGTGTGAGAGAGATGGACTCTCTTTGCCTCGGTGTGTCCTCCGGTATGTCCTCCGCCATGGGCCAGGCCTTTCAGCTGAAAGACAAAGAGGTCAGGGAGTGTCCAAAGCTGAAGGGAGGGCCAGGTGAGAGAAGAGGAAGCAGAGAGAGAGACAGACAGACAGAGACAGAGACATACACAGAGCCTTTCCTGCCCTCACTCCGATCCTGGGAGAGGCAAGCCCTTGCAAGCTCCAGGTATGCCAAGCAGAAACAGTGAACTGTCCCTCTGCCACCAGGAAGGGAAGGAAGGACTGGTGGAGGCGCTTGGCGTGGGCACCGTTCAGAAAAGAGACCCTAGTGTTCATGGCTTCTTACAACAGGTGAAAACCGTTGCCAGTGGAAGAAGTATTTGTTTCACCCAGCTTGAATACATGGTTCCAGCCCCGGGGTCCAAACATATTGGAAGCCAGTCCTTCCGCTGGACTTTTCCGTCCTGAACCCAACATTCCTCCTCTTCGGTGAGGCTGCGTTTAGGTTTTAGCGCGTCTGTAAATAAGAGCCCCGAGATCCCCTTCCCTCGCGGCAGTCCCCTCTCCTATCCACGCCTTGGGAGTACCGTACTCTGTTCAAACGGCAGCTGGTCAAACACCAGCAGCTCTCCGGGACACACACCCTCGCGAGGAGCGAGAGCTGGGGAATGCCCGCTACCCGGGCACGCAGGCGCACAGCTGCGGAGAGGGGAGTCGAGCCTGGGCTACTCACGGAGAGCAGGCGGCGGCGGGAAAGACTGACCGAAGCACAGGTTGCTGTGTGGAGGGCTGGGTCCAACCTGCTTGGGCTTTGGCCCGCTCACTTCTGTGGAAATTCCTGGGCAGAGTCCAAAGCTGGAGTAGGTTGGGCCTCCCCAGAGCTCAGGGTCACAGCTGGGGCGGGGACCCCAGCCCTGTTTCAGGAAAACGAGATGGGAGAAGCAGGCCCACTCAGGGCTAGGCCCACTGTGCTCCTGCCCTCCGGTCTGCTGCCCTTTCCCGAGCCAACCTTTTTTGGGCCTTGCTTCAGGCTGCCTCCTCTAGGAAGCCACCTTGGTTGTCCTCACCCCACTCCCACCCTCCTCATTCTGTTAGCCACCCTGGAAATTCATCTTCGTGTCTTCAGCCTTCTTTTCTCACGGGATCAGCGACTCATTTTCCAAAACTGGAAGAGACGGGAAAGCACCATCGCTGTCACAAACAGGAGGTGGCTCAGGGCGAAGCATCACACGTCACAAAAACAAACGGAAAGCCACGCCATTTTCTCCTATCCTTCCTTCCTAAACACCCAAGCCACCTGTGCAAAGTGGAGGGACATGCTTTCATCTTCAGCCCTCAAATTAACCATTTAAACTTACCTGACAGGATTGGCAAAGCCTCTTCAATAATTAATGATGCACACTCTTTAACAATAAATGCTTCTTTACATTACATTCTTTACAATGATACAAAAGCTCCTTCTCACCCAGAGGCATACACTGGCTGTTTTGGAAATCTGGAAGAGGCTGGAGGTCGGGGTAGCCCCCGATCCTGGGAGAACAGAGTCTCGTCTAGCCCAGGCTGGCCTTGAACCTGCTGTGTAGCAGAGGATAGCCTTAAATGCCCAATCCTCCTGCCTCCACATTCCAAACTCTGGGATTACAGGTGTGTGCCTCCACACCAGGCCTTCAGCCATCCTTGTCACCGATCACAACACATGCAAAATGAAACATGAAGACGTCATAGAAATATACAGAACGTGGGTATTTTCCTTATTTCCCCGTAACTGTATACTATTTTATCTTATTCATTTTTCAATGGGATATCGTACTATTCCAGGGTTTCCAAAACTTGCTTATCTGGCAGAGATAGAATACCCCTGTCAGGGCGCTGTGCCCCCTTGATCATAAAATAAATGTTTACCTTGAGCAAGAATGGGATGAAGCCAGAGCTGATCCTGAAGGGGGCACCCTCAGCCTCCATGAAGGGAAAGGATTTTATCCACTTTGAATCTTCTGTCCTTCTCATGCCTCCTCCTCTTCTGGCCTTTTCTTCCTCTTGGTGGCCAGAAGCAGGCCAGAGGTGAGCCCAGCAGTGAGTAGGTTATCTCACGGTCCCTACATCACAGCGCCAGGGACGCTGGCCTCCTAAACAAGGATTTGGTGTTATGCACGTCACAAGATGAACCTTGAGTTTGGAGCCCAAAGATCTGGATTCACCCTGGACTCTTGAGTTAATTTAGCCCTTAATCTGTGAACTGCTGAGGATGGGAACTAACTGAGGATTAAGCCAAGTGCTTGGCAGGGAGCCCGGTGCTGGCAGGCTGGCAGCTCCCCTCCTACAGCCCAGGATGCCCTGTGCCCTTACCAATGCTCCCATCAGGGTTGGAGTGGACAGCAGGGATCTCACCCAGGACGTGAAACCTCTCTGAGGCCCAGTGATTGGGCGGGCGGGAGACTGAGGGGCTGGGATACAGACACCAGGGAAGGACAGAGGGCTGGAGGATGGATGGGTGTCCTGCCTCTTCACTGCGATGCCTCGCTGGCCCTCATGCTGCTCTCTGGTTCTCTGAGGTCCCACACACCCTGCCAGGACAGCTGAGGGAGGCACAAGAGTGAGGAAGCAGGGTGCTGGCTCACAGAGAGACCTCAGAGAAGAACCACATGACTACACATGCGATCTGTCAGACATCAAAATGGCCTCAAAGAAGCTGCTGGCACACCAGCCCCCAGCCCCACGCTGCTCCTTGGAGGCAGCCCCTCAGTTGATTTAGCTCTTTTAGGGGCCACCTCCCATTCCAGAAAAACTCTTAGCCAAAGAGCTAGCAAGGAGCCCTTCATATTTGGCATGCTCATGGCCACTGTCCAACACCAAGGGAAAGAACCGGTCTGCTGCTCACCGGCCTCAGACATAGTGCAGGGCCAGTTAGAGGGAGGCATCTGGACCCACACCCAGCAGGGTCAAGGAGAGCAACCAGGGAGAATTTGACTCAGTCTAGTGAACGCTGTTTGCAAATCTCTGATTGGCTGGAGCTTTGGAGTGGCTGTTTCTTGGGCGTGGTTTACTTTCCACCAGGCTCAGCTCTCCACACAGTGAGGAGATAAGGTGTTTTAATTCATCTGAGCAAGCTGAAATAGTCTGAAAGCCAAGACACCTTTCTCTTGAGCTGTCCTGAGGATCCCGGGATGGGGCACTTGGCTTTCATGGGTTTTACAGCAAAGGCTACCTCCTCCTTCTGAGTGTACCATTTTCCTTCCATCACTGGCAAGGGTCAGGGAAAGCGAGGGGGCTGTTCATTTTGGTTTCTATTGCCTCATTAGCTGAGAACTCTACAGTTTCAGGTGAGTTTGTTAAGTATACGGGCAAAGAAATGATTTCTTGTTTAGCTCACCACCTTTTAATATAAAAAAATTTTTTATATTAAAAAACAATTGAGCCTGGCAGTGGTGGCACATGCCTTTAAATCCCAGCACTCAGGAGGCAGAGGTAGGCAGACTTTCTGAGTTCAAAGTCAGTCTGGTCTACAGAGCAAGTTCCAGGACAGCCAAAGCTACACAGAGAAATCCTGTCTCAAAGCAAAAACAAACAAATAAACCAACAACAACAACAAAATTGAGACATGATTTCATGTATCCCATGATGGCCTGGGACTCGCCAGGTAGCCAAGGATGGATGATCTTGAACTTTGGGCCTCCTGCCTTCAGGGCCCTAACGCTGGGATTACAGGCTGGTGCTGCCAACCACACCTGGCATTTGCAGTGCTGGGGATCAGACTCAGGGCCTCACACACACCGGGCAAGCGCTCTCCCAACTGAGCTAGGCCCCCACATCACACGACTTTCCACTTTGTCACACCTACAGAAGCAAGTTTCATGGCCCCGTTCCTTCAGTTCCGTGACGAGGAGAGTGTACGGTTGAACCTGGTCACCTCGGGGCTAAGCATAGTCAGCTTGCGGGTCAGCAGGCTCCTGTGGCATTTCCTGTTGGCTCACTCCTCCATTCTCAGGGCAGAGCCTACTACTTCCTCCTGAACAGGTGAGAGCTGGAAAGTCAATGTTCAGGGTCAGGGATAAAGATTTTTTTTTGCTAGTCACAGCCCTGCAGGCACCGAAAAAGGAGTGGGTTCCTGACACGGAGGAGAAAAGCACTGTGGTGTGTGGGGGAGGGGAGTCCTGAGACAGATTGTGAGTCCCAGGAGATGGTGACAACCATCTGGTTACTTGAGAGCTTCATGGATGGCAAGTTCAATGCTCCGAGCGAGCTCTGTCTGCACCGTCTCAATAATTCCTCAGTCACAATGACTCAGTGAGGTAGGTGCTGGCCGCCATCTTTCCAGCTGTCCTCCGCAGGAGTGTGATGACAGAGAGCAAGTACCATAAGGAGTGACTTTTCGAAAGAGAAACAACCTGAGGTGGACTGAGCAGCCAGCTGCTCCCCGTGCTGGGATTTGGGGACTCTGAGCTTGCTCTTGAGGTATCTAACCCATGTTTCCATCTGCTGCTTGGAGGGCAGGATGGATTGTGGGTAATTCACAATGAAATTGGACCCCTTTCCTTGTGAATTACAGTCTGTGCTCAGGATCCGCACTGTGAAGGACATTGTGTCCCAGAATGACTTTCCAAGTGAGCCCCAGTGTGAATTCTGCAACGGATGGCTGTACTGGGCAGTCAGCCCACATCCTGAGTAAGAACGAAACTACTCCGAGAACAGTTTGCCTGGATGGCCCCTGTGACGCTTCTGTTCCTGAGAGATCCAGTGCAGCATAAAGCCTGCCAGGTCTGAGGCATGTTCCGTAGCCCGAGACAGGGGGAACCTCAGGAGTGAGAGTCCTCTCGGAATGGTGGGGGAGGGAGGGGTGCAGAATCTGGTGAGGGTGAGAAGCCAAAATGTGGTCTCCCCGCTGGAGCCTGGCTTTCGCCTGACTGCACAGAGGAAATGCAGAGCACACCCTGTGAGCCTTCCATCAACACGCCCTGACAGGACCTCCTGTCAGCCTTGGGCCGGCAGTGGGGGAGGCCCTGATGTTGTCTCCCAGGTGACTTTGCTTCCAGCTGGTTCGGGGTAGGGTTCATAGAGCAGATGTGAGCCCCACCTTCCCTGTCACAGTGCCTGGAAGGTGGGTGTTCGCAGCGAAGAGGTCTTGGGTTGTAGGGCGGCAGCCCAGACAAACAGGAACCAATTGTTTCTCTGGCACTTCTGGCTCCGCAGCAGCAAGAAGCAGGGTACAGGCTTCCATAACATAGGCCAAAACCAGGCAGTCTCTCCCGACAGATGCCCTGCCTGCCTCAGGAATCCCAGAGAGGACCTAGCCCCATTTGCTCCAGTCAGAAGCTTTACCAGGGATCTGGTGGAACCGAAGAGGTTTAGCATACAACCAGGGCACTTAATTTGGTCAGAACTGTCAGCTCTTTGGATTCTTAGGGACATATCCCATTACTGGCCTGGATATATATTATTCTTATTGTTATTATTATTATTATCATATTGAGACAGGGTTTCTCTGTGTAGCCCTGGCTGTCCTGGACTTCGCTCTGTAGACCAGGCTCAAACTCAGAGATCACCTGCCTCCGCCGCCTGAGAGCTGGGATGAAAGGTGTGTGCCGCCACTGCCTGGCTTACTATTCAATTACTAAAAGGCAGAATGCGATCTATGCAATCATCTCCTGTCATAACTCCCCACCTGCTCACGGCCTCGGTTCCAGAGTAAGGGTCCTTCCTCAGCTGCTCCCTTTGCCCTTAGAAATTGTAATTCTGTTGGTTCCAGGCTCTCTAGTACCAGCAGGGGGCTCCTTCTGCCCAGAGACAGTGGCAACCACAAAGCCACAAAAGGTCAAGTGACCCCCCAACATTCTGCACAATA